GTGCGTTATGAGAGCGAGCAATGCATTTGTCTTGCCGCAGTTTGACGGCCCGCAAAACACCGCGCGCATACTGTTCTGAAGGAATTCACCATGACATTTCCTCCTCTTTCTCTTCTTAACTCGCGTTAATTCGTCGAAGTTCGGTACAGGTAACTTGACAGACTGTGTCTCAAACCTCATCTTGATCATGACTAATGCGAAAACTATAAATAACGGGTTTATAAAGATCATCGTTCAGTCGGAACTGTTTCACGATAGGGTGAGGATATGATTATGCATGTCAAACGTAAATGCATGGGAAAAAAGAAACACCATAGTGGTAAAGGCTTAGTCAACAAAATCATCAACAGTCTACCAGTTGAATTACATATACCTGGCTATCAATACTGTGGACCCGGTACAAAACTAGCGAAAAGACTCGCACGAGGTGATTTGGGTATCAATCCCCTCGACGCAGCTTGCAAAGAGCACGATATTGCGTACTCGAAGAATCGGGAAAACCTAGAACATAGAGGGGCGGCTGACAGGATACTTGCCGACAAAGCTTGGAAACGTGTCTTCGCGAAGGATGCGAGCATTGGTGAGAAGGCAGCTGCCTGGTCTGTAGCGAACATAATGAACACTAATTCAAAACTCGGTATGGGTATCACGAAAAAGAAGAAGCCTAAGAAGAAGATAACGCTGAGAAAAGTTATCGAAGCAGCCAAACGATCGATGACACAAAGCAACGATGCACAGGCAGTAATTCAGTCTGCTCTTAAGGGTGCCCAAACAGCTGTCAAGCAGGCTGGTGGAAAGAAAAATATACGTGCACCACGTGTTCTACCCGTACCATCCAAAGTTGGAGGTTTCCTGCCGTTTCTCGTGCCTATGTTTGCGGGTCTGAGCGCTGCTGGAGCGTTAGCAGGAGGTGCAGCAGGTATAGCTAAAGCCGTGAACGATACCAAGGCAACCAAGGAACAATTGAAGGAAAGCCAGCGACATAATAATGCGATGGAATCCATCGCGCTAGGCAAAGGACTGTACTTGAAACCCTACAAGAAGGGACTGGGCATTCATCTAAAGCCAAAAAACTTGAAGTGAAACTACCACGTCGGGCGTTAACTGATGCAGATCTGCTCAAGTACGCCAGGCTCATGAATATTCCACATTTTCGTGGAATTTTTATGCGGAATGCTATGCCAAAAGGTGGATCGTACAAATACGAATCGGCAATCGTCAATCTCGACGATGAGGACGGTCCCGGAACACACTGGGTCGCCTACATGAAGAAAAAAGACTCAGTAATTTATTTTGACAGTTTCGGTAATCTTCGCCCCCCACTAGATCTCATTAGCTGTCTTGACGTTAGTAGTGTAAAATATAATCATGAACGGTATCAGAACTATGATACTTTCGAATGTGGCCACTTGTGTCTCAAATTCTTATGTGGGCAGTTAAATCGTAAGAATAAGTATCGTCTATATAAACATGCTGCATAATGTCATATCGTCAGTCAAGCGTTTGCAATCATGGAAGATTCATTCACGTTAACTTTATCAGGCAATTCTTCTATACTCAAAGCCCAGTACTTTCCCCCAATTGAACTTTCTCGAGATAAAAATCATGCTCTGGGGCTCATCGAATTATTAACCTTTAATTCGATTCCTAA